ATTTCATTTTGAGACAACTGAATCTTGTTCTGCTGTGGACAGAGACATGAAAACAATTGTATTAAAATGATAACATTCTGCATTTTAAAGCACAGCCACCGCCATGTAGTTGAAGTACGCAGCCAGCCTGTCGCACCTCATTGATTTCAGTATATATTCACCATTGTGGGTGGTGCACACTACTGTACCATGCGATGAATCTTATGAATCTGATAGTTGACAGATAGCTGTACCGACCCCAGCGTAGTCCAACGTCCGTTTTTTGATGTGCTGCTAGTGAGAATGAGTGCTTGAAAACGTGGATTTTCAGGAATTCTACTTGCTACGAATGCCTGCAATCACTGTATATGTCTTCTATCCGAAATAGTAAACGCAGTTTTTATTTTATCCGATCAACCATTCACTAGACGCACCTGTTATTCGTTTATTGCGCTCTATATTTTTGCAATGTGCCAGCAAGCTGCCATAACGCTAATGATTTCGATTGATTTATGGGTTGCACTCGTATTTCCTATCTGGTATCGAACCATTTCAATGGAAAATGTTTGCATGCGCACAAATTGAAGGCAGAACCCGCGATTGCCAAGTGGGCACCTTGGTTTGAAACGAAGTACTCAACGAACTAAGAAGCCCAAATAGAAGAAAAAAAGCCAAAAACCTTGAGTAGGTGAAGATACTCGCTAGTCCTCAGCATTATGTAAATATGTAAGCACACGGCGAGGAGACTGGTAGGGGAGAGAGCTCAGTGCGGTTGAGACGCCACTGCGTGGATGATGATCATGGAGGCGGAGTATACTTATCGTGGAAGCGCCGCGGCGTCCTTATCAAGTAATTTGAATTTGCAATGGCCAATCTTTATTGGTTGCCGACACGACACCTGTCAGGGAGAGCTTCTGCTCGTTTGTAATCGCGGACTCTGTCTTTTAATGCAAAAGGTGTTTCTACACGTACGAGACATCCGACTGAATTGTTCGGAGTTTAGGTATCGCATGCAGCCCATAAAACCGTATATTTCCCTTTCCATCGTTCTTTGTACATGTTATTCCATTCCTATAGCCGCGTGGGGATGGATGGCGCAGGATGATGAACTTATTCCTTTCTGCAACCCTCCACTAGGTATGTTCTAATGTAATTTTTGAGTTTTTTTTTGCAGGTTTTTCCTTTGAGCTGGTATGACGATATGGCCGCAAACGTGTATCGACTGGCGTCGCCCGCGTGTGTGTTGAGATAGTATGGGATAACAGGAGGGTAGGCGCTGTTTAACACACACAGTCTGTCATCGATGGGCGCCAAATACTAGTGAGTTGGAAGAGTTTAGGAGGATAGGAGGGTAGCAGACTGTGTGAGGGCAGCGCCTACACTGCTGATCGAAACTCGTCAGCGGCTGCGTACCTGTTTGAAGTATTGAAGCGTCATTGGTGGTAGCACCTACAGCGCGTTACAAACGCGTTGACGCGAAGTCTGAACGCTGTCTTCTTGAACAAAAAAAACGCGTTGGCCTGACGCTCGCACCACAAGCGCGGCGACAAAACTGGTCAAAGGAAAAACGTCCGAGAACAAGTTTCGATCGAAATCCTGTCTGCATTTGAAAAGGGGGCAGAGAAGGTTATGTTTCAAAGACTATTACAAAACACTGGTAGTTCAGACCCATGAAGTCAAGTTATTTTTATTGATTACAGTCGATTTTTTTTATTTTTTTTCTATCTTGCACCAGCACCCACTCGCTTTCTGATCTTATCGAACAACTGCATTAGTTGTCTTGTCATTCTTGTATATATAGCTATCATCATTTTCGTTAAGACAAAAGGTATTTATTTATTTATTCATTTATTTGCATTTTAATTCCTTTGATTGCTGAAGGACACTAGATGGTGCGCCGCATAATACAGTGGGTCAAACTAATGATGTAACTGACATAGTTGATAAAGCGGAGCCGTCGCTATTTTCCTCAGGAAGGGAGGGATGGGCGAATTTTTGCAAGTTTTGTCAAGCGAGAGCCAGGGATTTTTGTAAGTTCCTTGAATCATTGCAAACAGGGCATATTGTGTTAGGCATGCACGGTGAGATCCGTACAAAGGGGCTTCATGACATGTACGACTTTTGCTGCGAGTCCTGGCGCGAAAGGCCAGATCGCAGAAAAATTGAGTACTGCAGCTGCTCCACATCGAAAGGTGTAGGAAACATATGTCACATACCATGGTATGAGTTTTTTTTCAGAGGGAAGAGACTCCGTGGTGGATCCAGACTCCACTGACCATGTGTGACAGTGTGAGATGTGTAAAATACAGTATAGTGTAAGGTATTGTGGCGTTATGTGATGTGTGTAAGACAAATTACTTCATGTTAGCCTCACAGCTAGTTGTTAATTATTATATGGGGGCCCAATAAAAGGACAACAATAAGGAATAAAGACAGAGCGATCACAGAATGCCAAGCAGATATGAAAATGCAGAGAAAAACAGAAGGTAGAAACAGTCAAAGGGATTCACCTCATGCTGTTCATAGACTCTGCGAAAGGTAGCCCGTGCGACGGAGTGAGAATCGGAGCAATGGGCAACAATTGACGGGAGCGCTGCTTTCGTTGCAATCCAACTCGCGCTTCTACTCAAGCCCTATCGTTGCAGGGATCAGGAATACAATATCGTACTAACCAATAGGAGCGGTGTCAGGGTTCGGCAGTTGGAGGGTCTCGCCTTTCCTGTTGCCACGCGGGACTTTGACAGCTCGGAGATAAGCCTCAAACTTGGGTAATTAAACTTTATCCGGTATATATAGACAAATACAAGTTTGAGATATGTGAGTTGAGTAATTACTGGATAAGTGAGATAGACAAGTGGATGAAAGGCTAAGAGGTCGCTGGCAGATGAGGTCAGCGTCGGTAGAAATGAGCCGGGGTGGGCGGAGCCGAGCTTCAATGTTTCCTGATGTACAGTCCAGATAAAGGCTGTTGGCATAAAGAAACCTGATGACTCAGCCCGAGAAGCCTATCGATCGCCATTAATTGAGGTTACAGATGAGTCATCGCTAAATGAGGTGCTACGATAATAGCGCACCAATAAGGATGTAGTAAATTACGGTAAAACGATAATGAGAAGGTATCGATGATCCTGGTGGGGAATCGATATAGAGGGGAAGGGGCTCAGTGAGCCCGCCTCCAGAGTGATCCACTTTAGGAACAGAAGGGACATGGTGGAAACGCCGGGAAAGGGCTCGTTTCGCCCCTCTTGGAACCGCCTGACAGGTTATGCTGATATCAGAATTATATTCACGTGCCGAGGTACACATAGAAGATGGACTTCTTTACAAGTACACTCAACATCCCGGAGACAGAGAGGGCGTGGCTGTGTACATCACTTCTGGTGGCCCCTGCGCTCTTAATGGGATATTGTCGTTTTAGGACAACCGTGGTGATGCCCAAGACAGAAAGACAGCTGTCCCAGATGGAAATTTCTCACGAAAAACGCATCCTATGCGATTTCAAATGAATCATGTACTCTCTCCTCCTCATCAGCGCAGCTTGTAGTGGGCATATGAACAATGTTCTATCATAAATGGTATTTCCAGGCAAATCCGTGGTGTGTCGAAATAATCACATTGTAATCCAACGCCTCAGAGTAGTCCTACTCATCTACATCTGCACTTGGTTTGCTAGTACTGCTGCAATGAATTTCTCGCGTTTGTTTGAATTATCACAGGAGACTATGATTCTATGTGCAAGCAATCTCGTAAGTTCGTGAAGTGCTCCATAAGATAAGAAGGACAGACAACTTGTTTTTGGAACGCGCCATGCATTTTATGCTCTGTTAGGATTGTGCTGGGTTTTGGACG